AATCTGAAAAGCATCTTCAATAATTCCCAAAATCTGAGGAAGGCTGAGTGAGTGAAAGAAAGATGGAGATGAAGTCGTTCTTGGTGGGATTGGCGCCATTTGCAGCGATGGTGTTGTTGGAGTGTCTGGACGTTGGCGTGAACACTCTCAACAAAGCAGCCACGTCGAAGGGGACGAGTTCCTTTGTCTTGGTTGTTTATGGAAATGCTTTGGGCTCTCTCATCCTCCTTCCCATTGCATTCTTCCTATATTGGTCTTTCCCATCATCAACAAGATCCACTTTATGTATTTATTATTCAGTTTTTAGTTCTGCAGTGCTAAATGGTTCTACTTATGTATGCAGGAAAAAGAGGCCTCCAATCAATTTCTCTGTGCTCTGCAAATTTTTCCTCCTCAGCTTTGTTGGGTGAGAAATTGTGTCTAAAGGAAGTTATTTTTGTTGATTTTAAGAAGTGGGTTTGGTTCCTTGAATGCAGAAATTTGATGGTGTATCTGGGTTTTGCAGGATTACCGTAATGCAGAACTGTATGTCAACTGGTGTAAAATACAGTTCCCCTACCCTTGCTTCATCAATACTTAACTTGATCCCAGTTTTCACTTTCTTGCTTGCTGTTATCTTCAGGTTCTCCTCTTTTCTTCCTTTCAACGCAGATAGAATTGGAAAGGGATGGTACTCAGTTTTTTTGGTATGCAGAGAGACTAGGAATTGAACCCTAGAGCTGTGGCTAAAAGTGGAAAGGATGACATTGACAAGAATATTTTCCCTTTCCATATCCACAATTACAAATCCAGAATTTCATAGTTCTTAGATCTACAAAAAAATCTCTAGTTCTCTAATCTATATTTAGGATGGAACACAAGAACATGATAGGTTTAACTAAATATGGTATCATGGTATGAATATACTGTATTAAGAAACTGCCTACTGCTGGACATATCTAACTAAATATGTTACTTGTTCTTCAGTTTGTCCTAGTGACTTCATTCCCAACAACTGAAATTGGGTATGGATATGAATCTTGGACAAATTGATGGAAAAATTTAATGAAAATTTTTTAGTACCTTCGTCAGGTAATTGATCCCAAATCCAAATGACATGGGTTGAAGGGCTAGAACATGTATAATTACCATGTTTTATCTTTTATGTTTCAGCCGTACCGTACTATTTGTAACTTCCTTTTCCCCCTGTATAGGATGGAAAAGATAGATTTGAGGAGCTCAAAGAGTCAGATCAAAATCCTGGGCACGCTGGTATCAATTTCAGGTGCAATCGTTGTAACCCTTTTCAAGGGTCCTCCAATAGTTGGCCCAGTAGCTCAATCCCAACCCCAACCATCACCTTCCACCGTGTTGACAACAACAAACAGTTGGGTCATTGGAGGCCTTTTGCTTGCTGCTGCAGGTTTATGTATTGCAATAAGCATCATTGCACAGGTGAGGCAAAATGCAATTTCAATGAGAGCTGGTAGCCGTTAGGTTCAATACTTAAATTTTTTTGAGAGTGAAAGTAAATCTCTCTTTCTGCTTTATATGAAGGCAGCAATTCTAAAGGGGTACCCGTCAAAGATAACGCTAGTTTTCTTCTACTCCTTCTTTGGGACCATTCAATCTGCAATAGTTGCTCTTATTGCTGAGAGAAATCTAAATGCCTGGAAACTTACACATGATATTGATCTCATCTTTGTCATCTATGCAGTAAGTATGATGAATACGCTGTAGCCATCTAAGGAGCGATGTCTTCATAAGCTTCTTCCTATCTAGCACACTGAAGCTTATTTCTAACAGAAAGCATTTGTATTCTAGGCATTCATTGGGAGTGTGGTGATAGTTGGTGTGTCTGCATGGTGCATACAGATTAAAGGACCAGTTTTTTTTGCGATGTTCAAGCCTTTAGGGATTGCTATTGCTGCCTTTATGGGTTTCATTTTTCTGGGGGAGACACTATATCTTGGAAGGTAGCAATCTCCCTACTATTCTAATTTCTTTGGATTCAAACTTGAAAAAAGTTGCAATCCTCTAAATGTTTGCTGCTGCTGGCAATGCTTTCTACCACCTTCTTTTATTCTGCTAAAAGAATTATTGCACCAAATGTTATTAGGACAACTTTGTGAGCAATAAGGGATTTCATTCTATGTTCTTTTGCAGTATTATTGGAGCAGTCATAATTGTTGCTGGATTTTATGGAGTACTTTGGGCAAAGTCCAAAGAAAAGGAGGATGAAGTTGGCAGTCCTCATCATAAGCTAGAGTCATCATCAGTAAAAACCCCTCTCCTGCACACCCATTTAGATGCATAGAGAATGTATCTGGCAGCTCACAAGCAACTTGACAAATCTGTGTTCGTAATTTAGGAACAATTGTAGTTATTATTTTTTTAGTATAATGTATATCAGTGACGAAACCTAATTTTAGTAGTCCTATAATCCATTTTAAATCTTGACATTTTGAATGCTCGAGACAACAGCCCAAAAAAAGGAAGAAGAAAAAGAAGCAAGCATACATTATAAAATGTCAGGCAGTGTTATTTCAGATTTATCCAATAAGAGTATCTGACTTGACCAAGAAGAGAAAACAAGAGTTATTCTCGAGAGATCACCTAGCCAATTACAATACGCACTTTTAGTTTTTTCTTTCCCCTCACCAAGAGGTCCAAGACATCGGAGAAAAATCTTCAAAAGACTGACATTTGATGCATATAAATGTGAATTCAACTAAAGTCTTAGACGATGGAGTGCTTTACGCCTCAAGCTCTGATCCATCTTTACAAAGCTCATGAAGGGGATAATGAGAGAGAAGTTAACAATCACAACTGCGTGTTAAACCCTGAATGCCTCCCTTCATATAGGAAATGAGAAAATAGTAATGCATCCCTATATGAAGGACCTCATCTCTCTGTAAATAGTCCACTATTCCAGACACAAAAAGGAATACATCTAAGGAGCTAGAATTTAGAAACACAACTACTAAGCTGTGACCTTAAGGATCCACTCGAGTCTCTATCCACAAGCGATGGTAAAATGATTGCCCTATCTCTCAATCTGTCTTGAGGTCATCAGACATTGCTGATGGAATGCAATGAGTAGCAAGAATATCTCGAGTAGCTGCTTTGGCAGTCTCAGTCCTCAGAACGACTATCTGCATGGCAAGTGAATATATGCATGTAAGAGGAGAGCAAAATGTACAAGTATTTATTTGAGTTTCGATAGAAAGAGAGAGGGGAGGACCTGATCATACTCCAAATCAAATTTCAAAAATTCATCATCACAGTTCTCTACCATTTCAGCCAAGCTCTTCAAATTCTTCACTGGCTTACCATTAAATGCAACAACCTGGATAGACAGACATTATAGAAGGCATTTCCTAACTAAACGGAAAAGGAAATACAGCTCATGAAATCAAATTCCTAACCTGAGTGTTAACAATGTCCTCATATCCAATATTGATATCTGCAACAAGCACCTTTCACAATTTTCAAGGAGGAAATATGTTAGAAGAACAGCTTAGCAGGATACTTCAAGAATGTTGATATACATACATATATAAAAAATACATATAGATAGTTGCAAGAGAGAGAAAGAGAGAACCTGAGATACCACAACAAGCTGTTCATCAGGTGATTGTGGCATTGAATGCAAGAGTTTGTCCAAAAGCTTTACTGGGGCTTCAAATTCATATTCCTTCCCATACTGAACAAATTACACAAAGATAAATGAGACTAGGCAATGTAAATATTTGAAGCTTGGAATATAAAATCTGCAAACATTATAACCAATCTGATAATTTTCTTACAAAAAGTGAAAACTAAAAGTGGTCTCTACAAAAAGAAAAGGTTCACCATGAACTGTAAAACATTTGCAATAATCCTTAAAATTTTCACATAAAGAGGTGCATTTTTCAACTTCTGAGCCATCCTTCTAATACAAATCAAAGACCTGCATATGGATGCACCCACTCACAGGAAGAAAAACAGTCAAGTAAGGTGGCAGCAGAACAAAACAATAAACCATCACATGATGCACTGTTCAACCCACAAACAACAACCTGATAAATTTAAAATCTTATGACCCCAAGACACTGTAGAATCCAGTATTCTAAAGAATATATTGCTATAGGTTATTTAGCTTTGACAGATATAACAATTATGCAATTCCTTTGACCCTCAACTGAATATCAAAGAGAATGGGGATGATTTGAGAGCATGATATGGCATTCTTATAATAATTAAGAGAAAAAGAATGACTGGGTACAAAATGCAATCCCCGTCTTCAAATAATCATAATCTAGGCTATAATTATCATCCTTCAATGCATAAACAGAATAGAAGCATCAAAATTTTGAAGCCAACAACACACCTCAGAACGAAGATAAGGAACAGATACGGTAGTAAAAACAAATCCTGCAATAATATAATATGAAGGAGGTCTGCCCCTGTTGTGGGATGGAATAAGCCTTCTGTGAGACGTAAGTTTAATATTGAAGTTGAGAACCTCAGAATTGCGGAGAACTCTAATTGTTGAATTATCCCCAGTATATTTTTGTGAGACAAGGTAACTAAAACCGATCCGTTCGCCATGCCGGAAAGGAACTGAGCAAAAGAAATCACCAAGAATGGGAGAGAAATCCCGTGTCACATAAGAAGGGAAAGGTTTGAACAGAATAAGACACAAGAAAAGTCATAAGCTTGTTGGTCCTATAAGATTTATGGAAATTTCAAATATTGAGTCAAGCTACAGTGCTGTGTGGGAGATCAAAAAAGAGGAGAAAAGCAGTTAGTGTTGTACAAAGAAATATTCCAAAGAGACAAATATATATATATATATATATAATTCTAAAAAAATAAGACCATCATCAGCACATATATATGGTAAAAAGTATTTTTCAATCTTCAAGCCATATACATAGAAGCATGAGGCTCTTCATTAATGCAAACATGAATCTGAAAAGACATAAAGAATTGTAAATATGTAATTACAATAATCATCTTTAATTATAAGTGGATATTTTCTATCACACAATGCAAATTGCAAAAGATGTATATGTCAATATCTGTCAGAAATGACATGAGACATTAATAATACGGGGAAAAACAGAAAATATATGTTTACCTGTCCCATCATTGGCAATGTCAACCCCATCAAAACTGAGAATAACATCTGATGGCTTCAATACCTCAGATTCTGGAGAGGTGGGATCAACCCTTCTGATACGAACACCTTTCTGATCAGCTTTCATACCCATTGACACACGCAAATCAGGATTTTCCATTTTCTGCCACTCAATCCCAAGAACTGGGAATCCTGTAATGACATAAACAGCCATAAGACCCTGAGCAAAATAAAAGGACATAACAGGCCAGTAGCACTGACGTTAGAAGAGTTTCTTTTTTTTCCCCTGAAGAATCAAAGAGATTACAAGAGTCAAATTTTAAATTAATAACTAACTAAAAGAACTTAAAAAGAACAACTAAAATTTAGCTATGTTATCCTAAGACTGAGAGTTAACAATATGAAGATATACAATTTAAAAATGTTAAAGGATGGATTAATTACCTGTATATGCTCCACTCTTTTCATAATCTTGGATGAAGTGCTGGATAACTGGGGTTGGTATTACATACCCTATATTTTCTACATCTTCATGTTTGAGCGACTGAAATGCAATACCCACACAATTGCCTTTATCATTAAAGGCAGGACCACCAGAATTTCCAGAGTTTATAGCAGCATCTATCTACAAAGCATCCATGAAAAAAGAATGTATCAGTAGAAAATTTTCAAAGGTTAGCAGGTATATGACAAAATGCTGTAATGCGCCCTTTAACCTGCAATCCCAGAAGCTCTGTGGAGCCATGAACATAAGACAGGATCTCTATTCGTGATACAACTCCACTTGTCACAGAAATGGTGTCTCCCCCTATTGGGTAACCCACAACTGTAACAGCATCTTGAAGTGCAGGCAATTCTCCAAACTCCACCGGAGAGACCCCTTCCCAGAACTCATCATCATCAACTGTGAGCATCGCTGCAACATTGAACAAACCATAACATGAATTCAACAAGAAGTCCCATCATCAGACTACACAAGTTTTCTGCATAGAAATGACACAAACCTTAAACTAAAGGACATTGCATAATTACAGCACAGAAGTGACAGTTTATAAATAGCTTAAATGCATCTGGTCTGAAAAAGGTATCTAAACATATCAAATTTAGATATTTCTACCCAGTCAAGGTAAGGAATCATGGCATATATGCTGTTTTGTTGGGATATTTACCACTAGCCAACTAGAAATTCTCGGATGCACTAGTACTTGCAAATGAATCAAACATTCATTCATTGGTTCCCTCTAGTTTTCTCCCTACAGAGAAACCTTTTGCATATTTATCTTAGTCTTAATCCGCACTTCACAAAAGAAACTAATTGCATTGATAAACATGTAAAAGAAACAAAATGGTAACCAATCACAACATCAAAATTGCAAGTAAAATTGTCACTTGTTAGTCAATGTAATTAGTGAAATAAAACGCTGTTAGCAACAAATCCATCTAGATTGTACTAATATCTATTTTCATGTTAAAAATATGCCAGAAATGGGATTAGTGGGCATTAGCCTGTATTGCAAAAAATTAGGTGGAAAAATATACTAAAGCTATGTTGTTTTAATAAAGCATCAAAAATAAAAAAAAATAAAAAAAAAAAAGACTAAAATAGATTCACTCTTGCTTTAAAAATTAGAATATTTTAGTTTTTTTTAATAAGAATTTGTTAAAATGATGTAGCATTTTTCCACCTAATTTTTTGCAATAGAGGCGGATACCCACTTTTCCCGTATCAAAATTCTGACAGGTAAATTTCATATCACAAACAACTATTGTTATGGTATCTTTTTCTTTCTTCCATGCATCATTGTTATGAAGAAATGACATCAAGCACGTTATAACATGTGAATCTAATTGTCCCTGCTCTAGTCCTGGCTTAGTGACTGATAATACCCTATATCATAATAAACATAGAGGATGAAAGATAATAATTTTGCAACACATGATAGGAAATGCTACATTACCAATGTCACACTCAGTGCCAATAGCTAGCACCGTAGCCAAGTATTTTGTATCAGAGCCACGCTTCTTGACTTTAACCTGCGTGTAATGCTCCACGGAATGCGCGTTAGTCAAGACCCTCCTCCCTCCAATCACGAAACCACTACTATTCGAACTGTACTGCCTCTTCCTCTGCCACGGCAGCGAGAAATTCGGCTCTGTATGTACGCAAAACACCTTGACCACTGCATCCATCGCAGGCACCACCCTCATCCCACCGGCCCCCATAATCGAATCCCCACTAACCACAGCAAATTCTCCTCCTCCCCCGCCCCCTCCAACAATAACACCATTCTCTACGGGCCGGGAAAGGCGGCGTGCCGGAGGGACGATCGGCGGGGGTTGTGGGGGTAACGACGGCTGGGTCTTTTCGGAGTTCTCAGGGGGCTTAGACTTCTTGGTACGGCCGCGAGGCCCATTTTCAGCATGGTTCTGGGTGGCGGCGGCGGTCGGATTGATAATATCAACATTACTGACGGAGAAGACGTCGTCCAGCGAGGCAGCGGTAGAAGGAGAATCTAGGGTTTCTGGAGGATTGTGGTTCTTGGGTTTGCGTCCTCTCTTGCGTTTGCTTCCGCCCATCAGAGATTTTGGGTCAATGACAGAAGGTCTCTTGTGGGTTTTTGTGGGATTTGAAAATAAGAATCTGAGGAAAAAATTTTTGAAAGAAAGATTTGAACTTTATTTATAGCAGAGAGAAGGAAGAAGGAATGACGGGGGAAAAGGGGAGGAGGGCAGAACAGGGAAAAAGAAAGCATCTGGTTTTGGACTTGCCAGCAGTTCCTCCCATCTGGCATGTCAACAGAACGTGTCGACCACGTCATTGTAACCGTCAGCCACGTCACTACAGGCTGCCCAAAAGAAAAGTTTTTGGGCCTAATTTTGGGTTGGGCTATTAATAAAATGCTTCTTCATTTTGTCTCAAAAGAAAAAATAAAAATATATATAAACAAAGAAATAAATGGATAAGGCTTTGTCTAAGAATATCTCTGGATATTTTGTTTTTTAATTTTATATTTTTTTATTATTTTAAAAATATGTAAAACATTAATTAAAATAAATATATATATTTATACATAAATTTTATGCATCATATTTATATAAAATTTTAACTATTCATTATTTTATTTTTAATAGTTTAGATTTATTTACATTTATTAAAAATAATTATCTTTTTTATCCAAAAAAATTATGATAAATCTTAACTGTTGAAAGTAAATGATTAAGATTTTATATAAATATAGTATAAGATTTGTGTATAAGTGAATCTTATTCTTAAAATAAATATTTAATATATTTTATGTATTTTTTAAATATTAAAAGATCAAAAAACCTACAACTTCAACTATAGTCTAACACTTCCAAATTAAGTCTAAATGATGCGGGAGAATAATTGGGTTAATTTTTAACCTCCTTTCAATGGAGATAAGAGATTTTGATGAACTCAAATCATATAATATGTCAATAAATGTAAGTTAAGGAGTGGGAGATGGTGTCCTTACAATCCAAGATAAAAAAAATAAAAAAAATAATAAAAGTGCATGAGATGTGTTATTTGTAAACAAAAATTATGTTGTCTATACTAACAATGGATCAATGAACTTAGCCATTTACTCTAGGCTAGTAAAACCATTAAGAATTAAATCCACTAGCAAATAAATATTATTTTGTAAAACAAATCTAAAGTTCAAGTTTTTGGGTTAGCATCTAAAGAATACTAGGCAAATATGAGGATTTGTTTTTAAAATCGCCTGAAAAAATGTATCCAGGTGCATAAAAATTGGCATAAATACATTAAAAGAAAAAAAAAACTCATAGGCTAGTAAATGCATTAAATTTATCTATCTTCAAAAGGAAAATTGTTTGAGATTTGAAATAATGAATATCATTGAATAAATGAAAAATATTCAAGAATTTAGCACAAACACTTACAAATTGCAACCCCTTGCTATCCATGATTTGAAATTTTAAAAAATAAAATAAAAATAAAAAAGAAACTAAAAATTAAATTTCAATTTGTTCTCAATTGATTTTACGTAGACAAGTTCACATAACATTTCAAACTTCTGCTATCAAATACTATTATCTTCTATTCTTTTCATATATACCCCTTTTCTTTTAAAAAAGTTTACGATAAAAAAAAAAACTGTAAGAACATTTTGAATAAAATATGAGAGCAAATATTTAATTTTTTTTTATTCACACAACCGTCTTACCCCTACATGTTTCTATATATTGTGGGAGTCGCAGCACAAAAAGATTAATTTGGAACATTCAAGATGAGAAAATATACAAATATTTGAGAAAATGTGCAGTTATATGAGAAAATATGTCATCCCTTTCATTGAATTAATCAGGAAATTGTAGAATATATATATATATATATATACACACACACAAGGCCAATGTGGCCGAATATGGTATGGTAAAGGCAAAGATTTAGTCTAATCTTAAGCAATGAAAAAATACAGAAAAGAAACGAAATTGAACAAGACTAATGGCCAATCACAAAAAGAAAACTAATCAAAACTAACGGCTATGTGATTGGTGATGAACTTACTTCCTTTCTCTAATACTAGAAACATTCTATACACGTGCACACTTGTAACAATTCTAAACCAAAACACTTATGTACACGTCGAACTTCTCATTTGTATCCTACACTCTTTTTTT